TAAAATAGAATAATATTAAACGCACAATTTATTTACTGTTTTCATTAACGCCTCTAGAAATATTAACAAAATAACAATATCAAAAGAGCTCAGCAATTAAATAAACAGAAACAAAACACCTTTTTTGCCGAGAAATACATATAATCGTAAAAAACAATTATATATATTTCTCGTATATCTCTGTATATTATATGTTTTTTACAATTATATGTATTTCTCGGCAAAAAAGGTATTTTGTTTCTGTTTATTAACAAAATATTTGCTTTTCAATAATCTTTCATTATACAGATACAGAATCCAAGAATTTCAACAATTTATTTCTAGATAAATTGTATGAAATTTTTTATTTTCATTTTAAATCGATTTTATATTCTTCGTGTTATTTTATGATAAACTTACTGGTTAAAAGAATTTAATTCAGAATTTTTTAATGCACAAAGAAAATGCATTATCTTCAATGTAAAAGACTATACACGCAACTAGAACTAGATATATATAAATTATAGTTACAAATGAAAAATCGGTAACAAATTAATTCTAATAACAAATACTGATTAATTAGAAAAACTAAAGACAAATAAGATATATCATCAAATACTTTCAAAATATGCGTGTTTTTATATAGAGAAACCATCGATTTCTCGTAAATTTACTTTTTAAAATTCTAATTAATTTCCAGCAATCAATTAAGAATTTCAACTATTCAAAAATTTAGTTCGAGTTGCTCAATTAAATTTTCCAGATAAAGAAGGGAAAAAAGTATGTAAATTCAGCTTTTAGTAATTTTATCATTGCATAAAACCAATACATTTTTAATTATTGCTTCTATCAGCATTTCTTTCCATGCAAATTTCTTCTCACATAGATTTTCAATGAGCTTTGAAGTACACTCATCGATCGAAAACTTGACTACGATAGGCTGTTTAATGAGAAAATAACTTTGAAATTGCTAATTCTCTACCCCTGAGCAAAAACTTGTTCTTCCGGAAGAATTATTTACTTTGTTCGTGTTACTAGAAATTTTATTGCTTTCTTTCGTATATTAAATTGTATTATTTTATTGTAATATCGCGTTTATTTATAGTTACAACAGTAAGCTCTGCACGATATTTAAGAAATGGCTGCGCTAAGTTTTGTTGAATCTGAAATGACAATTTAATCATGTTTCTTGGTAGATTATATAGAAATTTTATAAATACATTACTATTATTTATCCGTTTTATGATCAAATATATAATATATTCTTTTGAATATGCAAATTAAATATTTGTTCAAATAATATTTATAATTGAACACATTTTTCTATTCTTATTAGAGTTAAAAATAAATGCTTCATCTATGCTACAGGGTGTTACAAAAGTTACTGTGTACACAGTCATTTTTACTTTCCCGGCTGTTATAACAGAGTGAAAGTATAGGGATCCGGCAAAAAATGACCCATTCCCAACTTTTTACATTTTGTACACTTTGAAACGTCAAGAAACGAAAAAAAAAATTTGAGGATAATTTCTGTGTGTATAGATGTTAATGTGTGTGTATGTATGTGTGTGGCACGATTTTGTTCATCCTCTTTGAAGCTTAATTAATAACTTGTGCTTTTTGTCGAAAATTTTTGAAACTTTGCAGGGAGGTTTGTTTATTAGGGGAATTGATGCTATTAAATTTTGGTGGGTAATGGTCGAAAAAGTGCGAGTGGACTCCGTCTCCGCTTAATGGTGGTGACCAGACCCTAAATACCGGAGTTCGATGGGGGGTTCGAGCCTCACTCGGACGAGCTGGCAGCAGGAGTTTTTTCCGGGTTTTCCTCCTTGCCAATGACCCCTGAATAGGGGCCAGCTTCCCCCAAGTCCTCCCGGAAGGCATTCTGTCTCCCTTTCTCGCGGGGGTCGGATTGGTCGTCTTCTATAAGACCGACCCCTCCAAGTCCTCCCGGAAGGCATTCTGTCTCCCTTTCTCGCGGGGGTCGTCTCTTATAAGGCCGGCTTTGGTCACTTCGTGACCTCTCTTCTGTCTTCTCGGATTGGTCGTCTTCGATAAGGCCGCCTCTTCGGTCGCTGTGCGATCGGCCCCACTGTTTCTTCCGGAGTGAAAAGCGACGAGCTGCAGCACTCCTCTATCAAAGGTTGAAGGGAAGTGAAGGTCGAAGGAGTAGGGAGATAATGGGAGTCGTGCGTATCTCCAGTAGGGTCGGACTTAATGACGATTTCACTCGTTATTACTATTAACAATTTTTTTTTTAAATATAAAAATCATTTCTACCCTAAAAATTAAACCCTACCATTTTATAATAGTTAAAAATATGCAAATTTAAAAAATAAAATATGATAACAGATGGTGCCACAAAAATTTTAAATGTTGCCGGGAAAATTGAGTAACTCTTTAATGGTTTTTTATAACAATATTTTCGAGTTAAATAAATATATATATATAACTATCTTAGCCAAACACCAACTTGGCTTACTAGATCTTGTGACCTGAGTGCATTGGATTTTTTTCTGTGGAGTACAGTCACTGGTGTAACCAGGCAGGGGCCTAGGTAGACCAGGCCGCTTCTCGTAATGAAAAAATTAACAAAAATGCTACATACAGGAAAAATAATTTAACTATGAAGGTAACTACCGACTCAGTAATTTATATATTTGTTATGATACATTATATTATGTAAGTATTAAAAGCGAAATTTTATTAAAACATGTAGTGATTCATTTTAAATTTTAACTTGGGTCCACCAGTAGCCGAGCGGTTGTCGTTCCCTAAACACCGGGAGTTCGCGCCTCGCTCGGACGGGCTGGCCACGTGGAGTTTTCCGGATTTTCTCCACGTCTGTAACGCCTAAATAGGGGTCAGTTTCCCTTAAAAAGACCTCTCGGAAGGCCTCCCCTTAGGCAGATCGCCCAAGTTTTGCGTTGCCATAATTAAACATAAAATTTAACTTGGGCCTCTATGTCTGATCATTTTACTGGGTACACTAAAAGAAAAGGTTTACGAACACGATCTACATAGTGTTGATGAACTGAAGGTAGTAACTACCACTCATATTCATCAGATCTCACTGGCCACAATACAGACTTTTTTAAAGGTCGAGGGGTGGGACCATAGGAGGGATTTTTAAAAACTCTTTCCGCCCTGTGGGCACTAAGAGGACCTCTTTAAGCAAGCCCATTATGGGTTCGGCTAGATCCACAATGGGACGGCTGGGTGGTGAGGGACGGGGCCCGGCATATCCAGACGGACCACCACCCGAAAAATTCCTAAGGATTTTTCGACCCGTCCGGATGCGATCCTTGGTTCCCCAGAGTGGTAGGCTGCCATCTTGATCGCTCCAGATAGAGGGGCTCGTGTGTCATATCTCGAGAGGGATCGTTGATTTTACTCGTTTTTATAATTTACAATTTGTTTTACAAAACTCATCCCTACCACCAAAATTAATTAAGCTTTTTGTTATTATTATAATAATTAATAATATAATTTTATAATAAAATCGCATAACAGATGGCGCTACATACAATTTTATTAATTATGACTAATAATATATTATTTTTAAATAAAATCTCATGACAGCCGGAAAAGTTATGCAACTCGTTGCTGGATTTTTTAATACTAGATCTGGTCTTTTATTTTTGAATTTATTTTATTTTTCGATTTGGTTTAAAGTTTATTAATTTTTATTTTCTTCTTCATAGTTTTTTCTGGTCGTTTTTGTAATACAGTTTTTACTATATTCACTGAACCACTCAAAACTATAAAAGTAACGGCAGAAATTATTGTTTGAGAATCGTTCATTTTCTAGATCTCGTACTAACATTCGTCGTTCCCTCAACGAACCAATGCGGGAACAATGTGCATGTGTGTGAGATCGCCCAGTTGTAAAGTCAGAACAAAAGAGGGGTGCCGATAAATATGTGGGTGTGATAGACACCGAGTCAGACTTCACAGTTACAAAGAAAATTATCCTGATTTATTTAGACACCAAATCATGCTTTCAGACATAATGCTCAGGGTGTAGTGCACGCCTGTGATACTTCAGTTCCTATTGTTGAGAGATAGTTCTGATGGAAGGACTTGGGACTTGCCGTGTCGACTACCCGGGCCTAATGTCAAAAGTTCACAGAGAAGTTGAAGTCAGTTCAGCACGAGTGTCGAGGGTGAAGTGGAGAATGCAATCAAGTAAGGCAGTGTTTATTCAACGTTTTTTTTATCTCACGGTATACTTGAGATAATTTCCGCGGCACAAATTTTCGCGGAAAAAAATCACGTGGTTTAAAGTTGTGTTGTAAACATTCTATCGTCATATTAGTTGCCATTTAAAATATAGACAAAAAGAATTAGGTTTTGTGAATTAAATAAAACATTATTGCTTTTCCTTAAAATAGCAATAGGTTACAACAATAGTTATTTAAATTAATTATTTTCACTTACACAAGAAAAGCAATTAACATTAAGTCTTAATTTGCATTTAAAAGTGGAATGATAATTGCCTTTAGAAACCTGCCCAATGTCCCGCTATTTCTAAATTATAATAATTTAAACTAAATACGGATAATTATAGATACATTTTCCATTAACAGAAAATTTCATTTTAAGTAAAATAACCCGGTGTTGAGCCCACAAGTGGCCAAGCTGTTCCGTTCCCCGAACACTGGGAGTTTGGTGGTGGGTTGGCGCCTGGCCCGAACGGGCTGGCCACGTGGAGTTTTCCGGGTTTTCTCCACGTCTGTAACGCCCGAAAGGAGCCAGTTACCCTTAAAAAGACCTCCCTAGGCAGATCGCCCAAATGTTGCGTTGCCTTAGCTAAACATACAAACGAATCCCGAAGTAAGGTTTCGTTCTGTCTAGTATTCACAAGACAGAACGAAACCTTACTTTATTGACGATATAACATAATAAATTTCCAAATATTAATTTATAAATCTATTAAAATATTTATGCGAAATTTGTATATTATATTTAAAATTTGCACCGTAGTTGTGGTTGTGTTGACGTTGGGCTTTAGCTACTTGTCTATAGGTTTCATACGGAAAAGCGCCATCTGGATATTACGAAAACAACATCATGTCAAAACAAGCCTTATGGTGATTTATCGCAATATAATTTGACGTTTTTAAATTATAAAAGTTATTTCTGTTATTTAAGATCACAAAGAAACAAAATATTGCGTTCAAATTCGACATATTTTCCATTAAATATGATTTCGATCTTGTAAACGGCATATTTCCCTTCCAGGTGAGTTAAAAACGTTTACTGAATTGATGATAAATCTATTTTATGTAATTATATTAAAAATTGAAGAGAAAATAATAATGAAATCTGTTCTTGATCTGTAACAGATTTAATTACTGTTATCTAAACTTTATAAATTTATCAAATGTATGTTTTTAGATTATATAAAGATAACTTTGAAAAACATATGCTTGATGTTAAAAGTCATATTAAGGTAGTTTGTGTATGTGTGTACACATAAGCAAATTACCCCTACAGGTAACCTCTGCCTTACATACTTTTATATTAAAGTCTACGGCATAAATCTGTAATAAATTTAAATCAGAATTTACCTTTATTACAAGAAAAATTAAAATAATTCTTCCAGAAACTCACAAATATATTTTGCTTCTTCTTTTTCTATAATTAAATAAAAATCGTAAGTAAATGTGAGATTAAAAATATTTTATTATTATTATTTAAATGTATAGCCTCTTTATCCTTTAGGTATTCAAGTACTGTATGTAATAAAGAGTATTTGTATTATATATATTTTTATGTGATTTTTGTATTGCATTGAATTTAAGATGGATTTCACTTTTTAAAATGAAATTAAAAATATAGTTTAAAAGAAATATATGATTATTTTTCTGTGTGCTACTGTACTAGTAGAATAATAATAATAATAATAATAATAATAATAATAATAATCAAATTTCAGTTTAAAAAATTATCTTTTTTGTGAGTAAGCACAAAATTGCTATGTACAGTACAGTTTATTGCACGGGAACACTATTTACAGTCACATTTAAATATTGTTTCGGGTAATCTTATTTTTCTGAGTTTTAACTGTATGTAAGATATAAATAATTGTTAATTTTACTGTAATTTATTCTGCAGTTTTAACAATTTGTATATTAAGGACTGAAGAGGAGCAAATAGCCCAAATGCATATCTTTTCCATTGTACAAAATAAAGTCTATTTTATTCATCGAATATTGTTCTTGTATGATAATTTCTATATAGCAATTTGTGCTTACTTCCAAAGAACAAGAAGCAATCAAGTATTAAAAAATTATGCAAATAAGTATAAAACCTTTCCACTCTTTTTCTAGCAATTTCTTTAATCGAACTAACATTTTTGACTATATTTAATGGCCTTCCTCAGATTAAAGAAATTGCTAGAAAAAGAGTGGAAGGTTTCATAATACTTATTTACAGAAGTTCTAGCTTTCTATGCATAGGAAAAAATTATGCTTTTTATAAAAAAAAGTCATCAAGCTAGTTTACTGTTATTTCTCCTTATAACTGACTTGGTTGCTCAGAAGTACTTGAGGCAATAATGCAGTTATTGAGCTCCAATAAAACTGATTTTTTAGCTTATAATGGTTTTTAATTTTGCAATTTAATTGTTTTTTTATAATTATTGGTCTATTAAAGACGAAAAAATATTAATGAGTTCTTTTAATGGTTAATGAAGTATTTAAAATAATTTTAGTTAGTTAATAGAAAATAGTGTAAAATTGTTGTTACAAATAGATTTTTGTAAAGTGACAGAAAATACTCTGAATTTAGGAAGTGCATTAAATTATGACACATCCCAAATTTAAGTTCAGAAACATCTGGAATAAAATGGTTTCTAAATTTGAAACAATATAGTATATAACAAAGTAATATATATATAAGTTCTTGATGATTTTCAAGTAATAAATAAATAAAGACAACAGATAATTAAACAGCTGAAATTTCAAATTAGTATATAACATTATTATTAAATTTAGTTAAATAGTGTTGAGATGTTATATGGTTATTATAATTTATTAAAATCACAATATTAAAATATTTTTGAAGTGTTTTGTTTCAAATTTTTTTTTATCAAAATCAATTTCAAAACAAACAAAGATACTTTATAAAGCAACATGATACTGAAATGCAATTTTGTGTGACATTATATTTAATATTTACTGGCTATTTATTTTTATTTTTGATATAAAATGATATTATTTTTCACACTACATCCACAAAAAATTTATTTGAAGTAATTTCCAAATATAATAATAACAAAGAAATTTAATATTTGATTTTTCACATTTTAAATTTTTATTATTTATTATTTATATAAAGATGAAATAACTTGACTAACAAATTTACTTTCCTGTATGAACTGAAATTCTGTCAAATCACATTAATCATTTAGTTTGATTGACATGTTTATTTTGTTTTATCAGGTTTAAAGCATTAATATGGAATATGATAAAAAAAATCTGATATGATGAGAGATGCATAAATATTTTGTAGAAAAAAGATGATTATTAAATTTCCTTACCTTACAGTTTATTAAAATAACAATTTTAGTACCAGTATACATTTTATATAATGTTTTTGATGTTAGATTACTTATTAAATTTTTTTGTTAAATTATATATATTATTAAAATATTTATTGCTTATATTTAATTAAAAAATAACATTTACTAATGTTTACCTAATGATTTTTTGATTAGGAAAATATCTAGATTAAATATAATAATGCTTACTTTTATCCACTTTAGTGTAGATAAAAATAGATTTAAATAGGTTATATGAAATTATTATATAGTTAAATTTCTTTTAGCTATATGAACAAAGTGAAATAATTCTTAGAATAGGTTTTTTTTTTTAATTTAATAATTTAAAGTTTGCTATAAGTGTCAAGTTTCTGCTCTTCTGTTTATTCATAGTTTATAATATTGTTCATTGAATACACTGAAGTTTTTTAATTATAAAAGCAAATGATCAACGATGTAAAATTTATCAATTTAAAAAAAAATAAAAAAATAAATATTTCTAATAAAATATAGTTTAATCATTTATTATTAATGTTTCTAATTGCATATTTTTATTGTACTAATTTAAATTTACAGTTTAAAATTTTACATGCAATATACAAATCTGTAATATTTAAAAAAATAATATTCAAACAGTTAAAATGTATGACTTATATGACAGCTAATAAAATAATGCCATTTAGAAATTTAGCTGTTATATAGACTACTGAAAGAAAAGTGAAATTAGTTGCATCCTAAATTTTTGTTATTCAGTTAAATATAAATTTTGGGATGCATTTGAATTCATGTTTTTGTACTTAAAATCTTATTGTATATTAATAAATAAGACAAAATGAGGTCAATGTTCTCATACTATTATTAGAGAATGTTAGCCTTTAGTGTTATAACTTTTGAATAAACTTTATTTATAAATGATGTCAGATAAGGAAATTGTAAACTTACTGTTGCATGAAATATATATTTAATTATATATATAAAATAGTTAATGAGTTGGATTTTTTATACAATTGTTTTGAAAAAAGTAAATCAAAAAATCAGTTATTACATAATATATGGTGTTTATATTAATGTCAAGATTTATTATATCAAATTAGTGAATTCACTGATATAGCATATATTATGATGAAAATAAATAGAGTGGAGAGTTTTATTTTATAATAATACAGTCTTAAATGTTTATAGGTCTGCAGGCAGAACACAGTTTGAAAATAAAAAAATCTTAATGCTTAAATTAGTCTACCATAACCAAATGATCAATCAGTATTGCAGTCATTCATGTTTGAAGCTACATGCCATTTAAAGAACTGAAGCAATAACTATAAATAAATTACATTCTGACATTTCATATGATACTGCAAAATATTGTTTTTATCTGCAAACAGATTTGCAAAGTCAGATTAAGTGAACAAACAAAACCATAAACAGGCATACGTCACTTTAAGGCACTTTGTTTTACAGTGCTTTGCTATGGCATTTTTCATTTGTACTCATGCTTATTATTGCCAGAACTTGTCTTGTTCTCAAGGAATTTTTGGAATTTTTACTAAATAAAGTAATAGTGAAATCTTATCTTGATGTGGCCTAAATTTTTGCTAATTTTCAGACTTATTATACTTTGTAGGTTAATTGATGAAAACTGAGTGAGAGATTAGATCCAAAAAAGTCCAAAATGCATTTCCAATGTCAATAAAAGCATAATAATTTTTCAGTTTTCATCACTTGACCTGCAAGGTGTGATAAGTCTGAAAATTAGCCACATCAAGATACATTAATCACAGACAAGAAGCAAAAATACTTAATAATGAAATTTTTGAGCAATCTATTCTCCATAATAATTCTTTTTTACTGCACAAAGGTATACAGTATGCTTGAGGATATAGCATTTGAATAGTTAAACAAGTTGTGTTTAATGTGTTGGAATTTGTTAGCTGTAATTGGATAATAATAATTTAATGGGAATTGAGTACTTTACATTCAAGTTATGGGCATGTCTTCAGCTTTAATTCATTTCCACATAAGACTAAAGGAGAACATGCAGAAGACATAGAAAACTGCTATTAAACCATAAAAAATTAATTTGTTCTAAGAATTATTCATACAACTACTCTGAGGAAGTGATGTGATAGGATAGGATATGTTCCTAAACTCAATGTTTTTAAAGTGCTTTAGCTAAATTTTCAAAACTCTTGTTACTGATAAATCATTTTAAACTGGTTCATCAAGCTTTTACTTACATACTTCATTGAAACTGTTGTGATTGATGTATCTATGATGCAGACCAATCATTGATGATTTAAATTGATAGCTTATATTATTGGCAGAATTTTATTATGTTAGATATAATATGGTATTATGACAGTATGATATGATCCATAATGATATAATTGTTTGTCTACTTAAATGTTAAAAATAATTTTAATTTGTCAAGTGTAAGTGAAGTATTATTTTATTGGAATACTGCCATCAGTCAGTGGAATCTCAATGAAATGTTTCTAAGCATTACAAAAAAAGTTATTTTCTGTTTAAAGCAGTTTAAACAATGCATTGAGTTTAGGAATGCACATACAGTACTCCGGAGCAGGGCTCCCTGAAGCAGACATGCAACACATGTAGGCACTATCATCAGTGGTGTGTCAAAAGACATTCCTACTTAAGTGTCTGATTTGGATTATGAAATGACAAAATATTGAATAAAACATTATGTTGAAATACAGTAGAGCGTCGTTTATCCGAATCAATTGGGGACTGGGGTTGTTCGGATAATTTATTTTTCGGATAACCGATTATGTACGAAAAAATACATTAACCTCTCCCGTGTTGAAATTTTTCTCCATTGCATGTCACTTCGCGTTGAATTTTTGTTGATGTTAAGCCTAATATAAACTTTTTAAAATAATAATCATGGCTATTGTATCGTTAAAAATTATTTCTTTATTTTTTACAAACAAAATAAATATATTGAAAAATATAAAAACAAAAAGAATTTATACTTTAGAAGTTATCTAGTATCAAAAATGTTCGATTCAGGATGACACACAGTCCTCAGAAAAACACCACACAAAAGTGACATGCTGTCAGCTAAAACACATACACAAACATAAAAAATATAGGAGTAGCCCAAGATATAGGCAAAGATTGCAGCACCACAGCATTAGTGAAAATTTAAATTTGCCGACTGGAATTCTTTTGGATAACTGACTTTCAGATAAACGACGCTCTACTGTAGTAAAATTGCTAGCTTCAACAATCCAAGCATTATATATTTAATCAAAAAATCTTACTGGAACTAAAAGAAATAATATAAATAAATAACATCTTTTTTAATGGTCCAGCAAAAACCTTTAATTCTATAAGAATGTTTTTGATCGATTTTAGCAGCCTTCATCAGTTATCCCAATATTAAAAAGAACAAAGTATTCAAATTTATGTAATACAAAATTAAACTGCATTTGCGCAGCACAACAGAAAAAACCACTTGTAGGTTATTCATATTACAAAAACATAAAAAATAAAAAGTAAACAAATAAATTTAAATAAATAATAGTGCCATCAACGTGGATACATATATCAACTTGTGTTATTATAAAATGACTTCCAAGCAGTGGCTAATCCCTCTACATCTATGTGATTAATACATTCCGTGGCTATATGCACTTTATGTATTTCTATTTTTTCAAGATGCCTCACTGCCTGTAAAGATCTTGTGTCCCTAATGATTTCCGCATGATCCCAGTATACCGTTACATCCTGTTGTTTGGCAAATGCTGCCGGAACCTCACATCAATCGTTCCTACTCACAGAATATTTGTGTTCATTTATCCTTTGTTTTAAGCTCCGCATAGTTGCCCCAATATACACGAGGTTGGAATTAAACCGATGATCCTTTATAGGTATAGAATTTACCCCCGTCAAACTATTTTGATTATCCTTCTTCTTATCATTCCTTAACATTCTGTACACAGTTGGATTGCATTGATATAATATTCGTAGATTACTTTTGTTGGCAATTTTCCTAATTATCTTGTTTAGAAATGGAAAATAATTAAGAACCACATTTTTTCTTTGATTGGTTTCGGGAGGTTGTTGGTTTTGTTTCTGTAGTCTTTTAATAAATCTTTTAATAATTTCTCTTCTGTGGTATCCTTGCTGTGCCACTGTTTTTTGTATGTAATCTAATTCTTCATATATATCATATAAACTCGTGCAGTGGATGTACGCTCTTTTAATTCACACTCTAAACGTTGCATATTTAACTTGCTTAGTATCCATAGAATTCTTTGAGATGATAATAGGCTGATAAACCGGTTTGCGATATATGCCTGTCAATATTTACCCTTCCTTACGTGTGATCGATATATCCAGGAAGTTAACATTCTTCTCGCTTTCTTGGTCCAAACCCAAAGTCAACCCATAGGGGTTATTGTTGACCTTGTCTATAAAATTCTGTGCCTTGTCATCATTTCTCCACAAGACGAAAATGTCGTCAACATATCTGGAGTATATTACCATATCGTTTCTAAAGATGGGTAGGATACTGCTTTCGAGTTGACATAACACTAATTCACATAGGACAGCTGACATTAGGCTGCCCATAAGGAACGCTCCTTCCTTGAAGATATGTCTTCCCTTCAAAAACGAAAAACGACAAATGACAAACCAAATCGGCTAGTTCTAAAATGTGCTTGTGGTATTTCCTAGCATTTTTAATGTTGTTAAATAGAAAGTCCCTCAAAGTACAAAAAACAGGGTGCTAATTTTATTGAAGGGTATAATGCTTTGTAATCCATTACTGTCATATATTCCTTATCTTTAAGTGTAACATCCCTCAGTTTCCGCACTAGTTGTATCGAGCTTTTTATGGAAAAGGGGTACTCCTGAGTCTTATTTTGTATAAATTTGACCAGTTGCTTTTTGATAGCGAAAGTAGTCACAGCTATGCCCAGTTATAGAAAAATGCAATTCGCCTACTTTCGCTTTTTCTCTTTATATGAAGATGAAAGTACTTGCTCAAAAGTACTTTATTCTTTGTTTTATTTTAGACTTTATTAAAGCATTATTAATTTCTTTTAATGTACAATATTTATAAAATTTATCATAACAACAATGAGTAATCTTACAAAAATATTTTTCAACCTACTCCTTTTATTTTTCAATAAACTTGATGCATTATACATAGTCATAATTCTCTCTGAAAAAATATTTTGGCTGAGAGATACACTTGTGCATTTCTTTTAGCTTTTAGTCTGAGGCAAGTTGACAGCATCTTATGACATCTGCAAGTGGACTAAATAAGTGACAGTTTAATTTCATAAAAATTCTGAAACTAAAATTTTATAAATTTTTAAACTGTGAAAGTCTGAATTAGAGTAAATATACAATCCAATGAAATTATATGTATTATATTTTAGCATAAATAACTTCAAATTTTTATATGCTATCAAATTAAAATTTATCTATTGTTAATATCTCTTTGTTTTCTTGTAATCAGAATTTATTATTTTAAAAATTTAATGAAAACTGAACAATTCTGACATAGTTGTCATGTCTGAAATACTTTATTTGAATAAGTTTTAATAAATTATAGGTTATAATTATTTTAGTAATGTAGCTAACTTTTATGTACTGATTTTACTAGCTTAATATCTGGATAGTATTATTTTAAATCTGTTTTGCATTACCAGTTCATGCAGTTTTTACTTTTAGTTTCTTTTCCATCAGTTCATTATACTTTTGTCATAAGTGAAAGGAAATGAAGGAAATTATATACATGTATACAGATTTTAAAATATCATTTAAATTAAATAAAGTTAATGTATATATATATAAATAGATGAAACTGAATATCTATTTTATTCTTTCCTTAGATTATTTCAGTATGATAAAAGATAAATTTTTGTTACTGTTGTTTTACTTGCTTTTGATCCTTATTCAACATATAACTGGAAATGTTCATAGACGAGCAGAACCACCCATGCAAAAAGATCATTTTGCCATAAATATAAATATGCCAAATGTTAAACCAACTAAAGTAAGTACACTATTTTAAGTTATATAAAATTTTCTCCTTTAAAATTAGATAATAATGTTATATTTTCACAGCATGATTCATATATATGTACAACCAAACGTATTGATGCTGATGATGCCTATATTAGTAAGTGTTTCACCTTTAAATTATAACTACACTAAATTCAAATTTTTCATCAATCTTTGTTATCTACAGTACAATTTGAACCATCTGCTGATGCACTTAGGGCTCATCACATGATACTCTTTGGATGCAATTCTTTATATTCACCTAATTATATATATCCTGAGCATTGGTAAGAAAAATGAATAGATTAATTTTTCAATTTTATTATTAGTTTAAAAAATTTTTTCTAAAATCATATATTTTAGGAATTGTATACATAGTGCACTTTGCAAGAAAATGACTATCATGTATGCTTGGGCTAAAAATGCTCCACCAATTACTTTACCTCCAGTTAAGTGAATATTTGAATTTTAATTGCATATTTAGTAAAACTTGTTCATTTTATTATATTCATTTTTCATCAACAGATGTAGGATTTCATGTTGGTGGAAACAGTTCTATTCATTATATTATACTTCAGCTCCATTATGCAAACCCATTACCAGGTTTGATATATTTTTAAATTTATCATATTTATATTGAACTGTTTTTTTGTTTAAATAAATCTAAAAAACTTTTTTGTGTCATTTCACTAAGAATAATTTTAGAGAATATTTTTAAATTCACCTTGTGTGCCAATTTCATATTGAGACAACTTTTTAATACAAAATTAAAATATTCAAATGCAAGTTTGAATACGAATAAGTTTTTTCTATGACAAGTTTTATTTTATGAATCATACTTTTAAAACTGTTAGTATTTCTGAACAATAAATATTTTAAAAATTTTAATTAATAAATTATTATTAAAATTAAGTATTAAAAATTGTTAGTTCTTTCAACTTTTTTGTTTATAACAATATATAAAAAAATCTTACATGCTGTAGTTATGTTCAATAGCAATAAGAACAACACTGTTGTTGTTATTTAATTAAATAGGAATTCAATAAAGTCAAAGTGAAAAATCATTAGTATAACAAAAAAATAAAATATTTTTATATACATATGCAATCATTTAGTCCAGTTTTCCTGTTTCTGTTGGTTTTTTTTCTTACTTTTGGAGCTATTATATCAAGGTTAACTTATGAGGTTAAATGCATTTATAATACTGACAGACTGGAATTTTTAGTTTAAAATATATGACATATGCATGTGACATTTTACATATTAATTAATTAATTAATTAAATTAAAACTATTATAATTTAAATATTTTTAAGAAAAGCTAAGTTATATGTACAAATTTTGTAATTTATATTTATGTACATCTCAGAACATGCTCATAAAACTGAAAATACATTGATGAATAATGCATATTTTTTCCATTACCATTTTCTCCCTAAATTTTTATTTACATATATAAATGATAAGCATAAGGCTTCTATATATAAGCAATTATTATATTAAAATTTGCAATGACAATTAAATATATTTTTGAGTTTGTTAACATTATTGCTATTTTTATTACTTGTCCATGATGTTTAAGAAGATTTAATAAATTATCATCATAAATAAAATATATGTTTCATATTTTATATATGTGACATGATAGCATCTATATAAAACTTAATATTGTTTCATTGCTGTATTATTATTAAGCTTTATTACAGTTGTTATCTTTATTTTAAGGTTTATTACAACACTGCAATAAATTTCTATATTTATTAAAATTTTTTTTACCAAATATAAACAATAATATAAGTTGCAGAAACTATAACTTTTTATAGAACCATGTAGAACCATGCAAAATGAAAAATAATTTTTTAAAATGTTTAAGAAGAGAGAAATAGTATTTTTTAAAATTTTTTAATGCTTCAATAGCTGTATTTAAACAGTTTTGTTATTCTAACAAAACTTTTTATGCACACAAAGGAGGTGTTAGAAGTGTTAATATTTTGTTTCAACTCACTAAAAAGAATTCATGAGGAGAGAATAAAATTAAACAAGTGTTATTTCTGAGATACAATAATAAATAATAATGTTATATAGACACTTATTTCTCCAATTTGTTAAATTATTACTTTTTGTACAGTTAAATATCTGTTTTCAATTTTCAAAAATTCAGAACTATTAAAAAATAAATCTTACTTTCAATTATATTTTCAAAAATATTACTTTCCTGGAGGTTATAGAATATAAAGTAGGGGAAATATGATGATTGGTCAAATTTTGACTCCTCAGTACTTTTTGCTTTTGTCAACATTTTGACACTCCTTGTGTGTTTAGGTGGGTGTTTGTGTTGGTTTGTTGCCTATTTTGCATTATGTTTCAGGATTAGACAAGGTTGAAAAACAAAGCAGTTTTTTAAAAGCAAAAAAAAATAGGTTCTGTGTTTTTCTTTAGTTTTATACTGTTTAAAACAACGTCTTAAACTTTGATTTGTGTTATTTTAACATTCTGTATATACGATTTTTACAAAACTGGGAAATAATTACTTAAGTAATGATTACTGGCTACCAGAATAGTATCACTCTGGCATTGGAAAATAAATTTGAAAAGTTTCTCACGTGTGAACTAGCCAATTATCAGAAAAGGAAAAGAAAGTGAAAAACACATTTCAGTTTTTAAAGTCAAAATATTTGTGATTGGAAAAACTAAAGCTTTATACCAGTGGTCCCCAACCCCCAGGCTGCGGACTGGTACAGGTCCGTGGATCAAATGGTACCAAGCCGCCCAAGGAACATTAATTAAATTACTGGTATTTCCATTTTATTTACTATGGTGTATTTCTCTCAGGTTTGTGTGACTTTTAATGGACGATGGAACAATGGAATAAACTGGACATAAGAAACACACTTCGGTTATCATGTCTTTTATTACCCCAGATGGAACCGTCTTGTTGCAAAGAAACAAGCTCAGGGTTCTCATTGATTTAACGTTCTAGTGAGTTAAAATGTTAAATCACGTTATATTCATTTTTTGGTGTAACTATATTTTATTTTGAAGGCATGTTTAAATACAATTAAATTAAAATTATTAAATTAAATCAATCTAAAATATAAACTATCAACATCCCTCCTCAGTGGGACGCGGTAAAATATCAAATGTTGACCGGTCCATGGCGATAAAAAGGTTGGGGACCGCTGGTTTATATCACTTTTCTGTTTTAAATTTTAAATTAAGGCAAAAAGTTGCAAACATTTGTTACAATTTTTATTCTTGATTCAAAACATGAACAATTGAAAACAAGATCCTATTAGGGAACATTTTACTACATTACCCTCAGAAAAAATGAAACATTGTGGATTAGATGCCAAGTCTGCAAAGTGGAATTAGTTTCTTTGGTTCAATGAATAAAAAAACCACATACAGAAATTTCATCATAGTACACTATCCAGTGAGCAGATTGTTGAGACCTTGGAATATGCCAGTATTTTTTATATCAAATCCAAGATCAATGTTGTTAACTATCAAGCAAGAATAAGATCTTTCAAAATTATTTCTTTGGAAAAGTCCTTACTATATCCATCAAACCTCTAACTGGTGCTTCCTTTACAAGGCTTGAATTTAGAAACAATAATCCTTGTTACCTAGCTGCAGCTTCATTGGCCAGAATTGAATGGATTCTTTCATCCTTTGGGTTTGTTCAATCTAAAATAATAAACAGTTCAAATCCAAAAAGCTACCAAGCTGTTGGTAATGTTTAACAAATAAGTGTATGGCTGAAGAAGTGAACTAGGCATTTAAAGCCAGTTATAGCCATATACATTGAACAATCACCATATTAGGAACACCTGGCTAATAACAGATTATTCCACTTTTCTGGGTAATCATGGCTTGCAAATGTCGGGCATGGACTCTACCAGATGCTGAACATCCTTTATGCTTAATAGACCCATGCCTGCTCAAGCAGTTTTGTCATTTGGTACACATTTCATGGAGGATTGGGTGACAACCTCACCACATGTTCCAGCATATCCAAAACATATTCAATAGGGTTATAGTTGGCAGTGTGTGGCATTCATTGTCGTGTTCTTCCAATTATTTCCGAGTAGTCTCAGTGCATTATCATGTCAAAACATGGTATCATTGTCAGGTAATATTGCATGGAAATTACATGATTGTAAAAATTCATATATTCAAATATGACATCAAATATAAGGAAGAAACTGAATATAATTTTTCTTCACTTGAGGATGACATTTTGAAATGTCAAAAGTTCTTGCATGTATTTAATTCATCAAGTAAATAAATCTAATACCAATAGGCAGTACAATTTTTTCTTTATGCTTGGAGGTTCTGGTACAGATGATGGCTCGTGATAAAAATCAAGGCCAAACGAGAGGTCTTGATTTTTATCACGGAAAATAATTACTTTCGGTTCAACAGGAAAATTTATTTACAGAAACAAGGGGTACCTATGGGCTCTCCGCTCTCTGCTATATTAGCAGAATTACTCATGAGGTGAAAGGAGGAAAGAGTGTTTACCTTCCCTCTCACCATAGCATACCCTCTATTATATCTTAGATATGTGGACGATATCTTAGTAGCCTGGCAACACACGGAAGAGGATTTCCATATTCTCAAAAGTTATCTTATGGAGGTTTATTCTACCATCAAGTTTACCTGGGAAAAGGAAAAGGGAGGTGAAATTGTGTTTTTAGATCTAAACATCACCAAAGCCCAGGGTGCGATAGTGTTCTCCGTATTCCATAAGTTCAACAGCATACCTCCTTTAATCCCTGCCACTGCGTACCAACTGTGGCACTACATCAACGCAGCTATCACCCCTCTAATTAGAAGGGCCTTTTTGTTGTCTTCCAATCAAGCTCTTGTCAACATTAAGCTTGAAGCTATAAGTGCAGCGGTAAGTGCAGCGGGTTACACTAGATCTAAGTACAGGTACATCCTTAGAAAGGTTAAAGGTTCTCTATTTCTGGACACAACCTTGCAGGCCTTGGAAGAATGTATGATAATCCAGCCCCCATTACCATTCTGTGGCTGTATTACTGGTCGCATTTGCCGTATTTTTAGTCAGCATGCACTTTTCCTGCCAGTGTCGCCGCGGCAAAACCTTAGAAGAATGTTATGCAATGACAGGGATCCTTTTTCTGTGCTAGAGCAGTCTGGAGTGTATTCCATCCCATTGGAAAGCACAACATCTGGTACTCATACCCAGTATATTGGAGCGATATCTAGAATGTTGTCTTGCCACATCTCTGAACACAAACAATCTATTAGTACGGGTAGGTGCGATACTGAGTTGGCAAGATTGGTGTTGCAACACCAATACACTCCGATGTGGGACCAAGTGGGGATACTCAAACAATGTGATAGCAGGAACCTCTTGTATATATGGGAGGTGCTATTTACCAGCGTGCTAAATCCATGCAATACCCCCACGCTGGATGTGCCTTCATTATGGGTCAACTTATACAACAGATTAAAACAACGTCGCTAGCTCCGCATTCTCGCAAAATATTCTATTGCTCATGCGTGTCAGCATTGAGCGTGCGTCTTTCAAATTCTCTGTTTTTGTTCTACAGGTATTTTGATTTTATTCTAATG